AATATAGGCCTGTTTTGACCACTGTCAGACACACCATGTCCATTTTTGAATAAACTGACTGCCTACATCCAGAGCCATACATGGATCCCAGTACAAATGTAAACAGTGGGATGTGCATAAAGATCCATGCAGCTGTAATTTCCCTGGGGGCATAAACACGACCTTCTGCATGGCTGTACAGATTCATTCACCCATGTGAATGAGCCCATAATCAATAGAAAGGTCAACTTGCTCTTTTCTGGCCGCTGTCAGAATACCCAAACAGAGCCGGCAGATCATTGGCTGTCCGCTCAGTTAGTTTGAAATTTTCCGACCAGCTCCATCGATCAGCTGATCAAGGGATGCCAGCCGAAAGGGTACCAACACAGACACCCACTGTGCAAATTTCACCCAGTTCCTGAATAGAGTGTGGTAAAAATGGATCACCTGCTGGATTCTTTGGAGTACAGACACTGAAGAGTATTGGTTGCTACTCATTACAGTCATGGAATCATTAGTTATATGAAATAAGAAAATGTGGTTGGTACTTGTTGAGAGTTCACTGCAGAATGTGATAAAAGTGGATCACCTGGTGGATTCCGACATGCAGACACTGAAGGTTATAGGTAGCTACGGGTCACCGTAATCGTTTCCGCCCCCCACTCACAGCAATTAGCTTTCTCTGCCATCAATAATTTTTGTCCCTATGCTTTATGTGAAAAAAAAAAAAAAGGTACATGGTATCCCATTAGATGTGCCTTACCCAATCAGCAGCATACAGTGGGCCATCCTGCTCCCAGCCAGCAATAACTGACCACATGGATTCCATTTGAGATCTTTTTAGGACATACAAAAGAATGGAGAGTCTGTAAATCCTATGATGGGACAAATGTCTCCTTTGGGTTTCAGACATGTGAACAGGTTTAAATAAAAGCTTTTTTTTGCGTGAAGATTTTTAGTATTTTGTATTGGAATAAAAGATTTTATGTAATGTAGGAGATTAGTAAATCTCAATAAGCATTTTACTTTAGGAGAGCTTTATTCCCCTTTCAACGCTACATTGTGATGCATGGGGAGGGAGGGGGGGGCGCAATAGTTTGCATAAATCGTTACATAAGATAAGTTGGGTTGACGAGGGCACAATGGATGGGGGAGGTGAAAAATGGATGGGGGAGGCAAAAAGGTGAAAAATGGATGGGGGAGGCAAAAGGTGAAAAATTAATAAGATCTGCAGCCACCTTCATTTATAAGACTGCCTTTCTGCCGTGTCCTCACATAAGAGGGAAAGGGAGGAAGGGCTCTCATATGTACAGTACTGTAGCACTGTTTACATTTGTGATCACTGTGGTTGGCAGAGCAATCACAAGACAGAGAGCTACTCTAATTGGCTCTGTGCAGGTTACCTATGATCTGAAGTGTCTAATGACAAGCTCCAGGTTTTAGCCGCCTCAATAATGAAATGTTTTTTTCATTTAAAAAAAAAATAAAAAAATTGCAAAATAATAAAACATATTGGGGCGTCTACTTTCCAAAAATTGGTCATATCGGGGGTGTTATTGTCCTGGCAGTATTATTATTTGATATGTTTAATAAAAAAGTAAGGGGACCAATTTATCTTCAAAATGTTTGGTCCTTTATATAGTATAAGTATGCTCTTTTTTTAAAATTTTATTATTTTTTCAGACAATAATTGAATCTGATGCAACATTTCTTACCTGGACATCCCGTCAATAACAGCACTTCCTGTTTTAGAAAACCTGAAAATGTTGCTTTGTAATTAGCAGCAGCTTTGTCAGCTCACTCCTCAGTTGGCTGTTGAGCTGCCTATCAGATCTCCCTAGACCTGATACGCAGCCCAACAGCAAACCGAAAGGTGTGTACACAGCAGTCTGACAACTTTACTGCTAATTGCAAGGCAGTGGCTTAGCACTGTCAAAGAGATACGGATCTTCAGGTATGAAACTTTGCAACAGATTCACAAAAAATGATTTGCTTCAGAAAACAGCATACTGAAAAACAGATTTGGGATTTACATACACTTAAGGAAGATTTTCCTGTATTAGAGATTACAAGGTGTAAAACCTTGTAATCTCTAATACAGGAAAATCTTCCTTACGCACACCTCCAGGAAAAAAGCATCACTGACCTATTTTAGGAAACGATATAAAAACATGATAGAAAGACAAGACTGTGCTGCAATTTGTCTATAGAATAATGGGACAGATGCAAGAAATACTGTGGTCTTCTTAACAAGTTGGTGGTAGAGTAGCAAGTACCAAGTAGTAAAAAGGTACTAAAGCAGGCAGTGTAGAAGCAGAGTGGGAAGTAAGATGGAGTAGCACTGTTAGACCCAATTTAACTATGGAAAATTTCACTCAGGTATTGTAGGACCAGTAAACTATCAAACAAACCAACAGTATACTCCTAACTGTGCAAGTTGATGCTCATGTAAAGAATGACCAATCCTTGATCAAGTGTAAAAATAAAGTGTATAAAAAAAAAAAAAAAAAAAAAAAGGTCCAGATTTGTAAAAAGATTTCACATAGATGCAAGCATTGCGTGAGGAAAAAAATAAAACATTGGCACTGCTTTACCAGATCACACATGGATGCTTCATTGTCAGACGATCCCCTGTACCCTCTAACCTTCAATCTTGTTTTGCCGAGTTTACCCAAAGTGGCTTAAATTACTGTAGTTCAAGTGACATTAAACTTCGTAGTTAAAACTTAAAAATGTATTCAAGTACTTTAGCTATTAACAAAAATGTAGTTTGTGTATCACTGAGCTGTAGATCCTCAAATCATCTTTGACTTCATGCCAACACTGTCGTTCCTTCTGGAGGGTGGTAACTTTTGTGCCTCATGGTCCCTGTGTGTGTCGTAAAGTAGTCACCGCTGCAAGCTCACTTTTGTTATGGACTACAATCTCACGGTCAGTTTATTAATTTGTATTGCAATTATAAATCTATCACGGGGGTGAACATGGAGCGGTGGCTACTTTACAACACAGGGACCTCAGGGAAGAAAAGTAGCCATAAAAATGTACAAGATTCACAAATAAGCTACACATTTGTTAATTGTTGGGGTATTTGAATGCATTTTTGAGATTTAACTCCTGAGTTTAGTATCACTTTAGTTTTTTTAATGCCCGGGTCAGTTCTGGACTAACAGGGTGCCCCTAATGAGTTATTATTATACAGGATTTATATAGCGCCGGGTTGTGCAGTACTTTACAATATAAGGAGGGCATTACAATTACAATACAACTTTTTTAAAGATTTAACGCCTACGTTTAGTGTCACTTTAAATATAATAAGAAAGAGTAGTTCCAGTGCAGCACAATCCTTTGGCTCACTCACTTCAATAAATCTCAATTGAAATTCATAAATATGGGGCTGAAAAGCGCAGACACAAAGATTTGTTAGTTTTGTTTTACCCCATAAATGTTTATCCTTGATGGTGTCTATGTTTCTCACTGAAAATGAGACCTGGTATGGAAGAGATGATCTAGTATTGAAAGGAAGGAGTTTTTTTTTTTTAAGAGATCATTTTAAACTGTGTTCTTTGACAAACTCACGTTGTATGAATTAGGATGTGGTCTCTACAAAAAACCCAACTAAGGATATCTTAAGAGAAGATGGTCTCATTCTTCTGCTCCCCTTTAATGACCCTTTCTGGCACTGAAGGGCATATAGGCTGGGAACAGCAGAGGGCCATCATGTCCCTGTCCCTTCAGTCATGGGAATAACTACTGCCTGTGTGCTTGACTTCCTAATCCTGTATTGTTCACACATGTATATTTATTTTCTACAAATACTAACACTGACCCCTTTTACTCTACATTTTCTCTCTGCAGACTGGAAACACACAATGCCAGAACTTACACAAGCTGGGTTTCTTTATAAAACACAACTTTAATTTCATATTAGAACAATGATCAGTGTATCAATTTCATGGGGCAAAGAAACAAAGCTGGCTCTTCAAATTGCTGTTTCTTATTCCAAACCCTTGAAACAATAAATCTTGACCAAGTCTTAGACACATAACAATGCTATTTGACACATTAATATAAAGAAAATGTTAGCCTTCCAAATGAAAAGAAAAAGTAGTTGTATTTACTCCAATCATGAGGAAACACTTTAAAATGGGTTCTGCACCTTTCAAAAATGACTTTTATTTGATCTACAAAAAAGGGGCAAACATTGGGATAATGTAGATACCAGAGCTTTAAAAAAAAAATCATAGCCAACCTCTATGATCAGAATAAATACCTAAGCCATATATCCCCATAAGAACTTTTTTGTAAATTTGTTTTTCTTTGCATCTCTAGGGTGATCAGGGACCAACTACCATGTTCATGTTTTCTGTAGGCCTCATAGCAGAGAACGTATGTAAATTCATGGCCAAGGTGAATCTCCATTATTATACTCAAATAAGCTGCCACAGGATTTTCGTGTACTGGGTGTCCCTATAGGAATTAAAACCAGTGAAAAGAAATGCGACCCCCTCTCCAATATAAGCTATTCCCTTCTCCTCAGTTGACCACTAGCCAGGGCATGAGAATACAAACAACCTGACACTCAATGCCAAAATGTCTTCTATTCCATTGGGAAACACAGATGACAATCTGTGACCACCAGTTTAGATCCAAAAAATGTATATGTTCAATATCCTCTTTTCTTCCTTGTCACAATAGGGGAAAAGGCACTATGTAAACATCCTATATTCCTGGACCACAATAAGAGGACATTAGACACAGAAGGGCAAGGGTGTAGACAAGTGTCATTTTTTTCCCCCCAATTCTTGTATTACCAACTGGGGTATTCTATTTCCATTATCCCATATCTCACAAGTAAGACCAAATATTAATTTATAATTCCCTATGATGCAACACAATAAAGCAGCAGCATATAAAGTGTTATTTCGAATACTTTTTTGTAACATTTATAGCTCAAAAATGACAATTATTTTTAATGAGGAAAAACATTTAAAAAAAACTTACATAAATCACGTTTTCGAAAAGTTATTTTGAAAAAATTCTACTAGCATAATCATCAAAATATTTGGTGAACAAATCATGCATGATTTTCAAGATGCTAGAATTCCTCTACGGTATCATGGCACAAATTGCATCCTGCTAGAATGTGAGGGAAGCTACAGGGCTGAAGGACATATTAACAAAGCAAGCCAGCTGCTTCACATTAAATTCATGTGCTTTTATTCACTTTCCTTTTCTGTGCCACTACAATGTTTTTCTTTGGCACATTAAGTAAACGACCACCACTTTTGCAGAGCAAATAGTTTCCTTAGCCTTCTTGTTACCAGAAATGGATATAAATTTACAAACAGTCACAGTTGGTAAATGCCAAGAAAGTATTAGGAGTATTAAAAAGATGGGCAGGCACATAAAAAAAACAAAGCTGGAACGTGAACTCAAGGCACAGATCTTCCTACACCCAATATTCCTTTTGAGCACTTGAGCTCATGAACACAGTGTTCAATGAAAGTTGCCACTACCCCATCTAATGAAGTCAGTGCTGCTCCACTAAGGACAAAGACCTTTGTCAGCAGACTCAGACGACATGGAGCCCCATCTAAGTAAAACTGGAATTTAAAGGCAAACATCCTGTTAATACGCCAGTCGAACGAGTTATCTTTTCTCTTCCCTATTAAGTTTCTAGGTTTACAAATATTTAGTGCACACAGGTGAGCTTCATTTTTTTAGTTTCTTTTATGGTCAAGTTTATAAATGAAATCTCTTCAAAGGCTTCCAGGATCACATTTGCCATTCAGATAGCTGGTCCGAGGACCCTTTGATGAAGAATAAGTTTCTTTCAAACTGTGGTATCACCAAAATCTTGATTCCATCGAATGTACGATTCCAGGGTAGAAGAGCTGACACTGCACTTTATTTTTTTCAATGAGTTTAGGAAGTCTGAATATTTTATATTGCGCATCTGAAAAGAAGAAAAAAAAATGAATATACCATTATGCACCCTCATATTAATCAACAGGACAATCATTTAAAGTTTTCAATGTAGGCTAATCCCAGTAGTGGAAACAATCTACTTTATCTTAGCCTAGGCTGTCATAGACGAACCCCTTGGAGGGTGCATATAATGCCAGCTTGGGCTCAGAGTACCACTGCACAGAACAGTGCTTACATGTGATTATGTGTGTGCCATTCAGTGCCGGAGTAAGGACTGCCCACTGACTGAGAAGAAAAGGAAGGAGTGCAATAGAGGCAGGTGGGGGGGAATATCAGGTCTTGTGAAACTTTTCCTGACAGAACTGCAAAAATATGCTCTGGGATCTCATGCAAGTTTAAATTAGGGCCTCATTCACACCTAAATCTTTAGGTGATATTCGTGATTCCTAAATCAGGAACTTGTGTTTTCCTGCAGCAGTAATCCCCAATATGCAGTTTACAAATCAGCAGCTCTCACCCATTCAAGTTAATGATCGGGTGACAGCCTTTGCATTTAAAAACAGGCACACCACATGTAACCGTATGGGATACAATTACATGCGGTTAGGAATCAATCGCCTTCCCAGGATACATCGATTGTGCACATCCAGGGAGAGTCACCAAATGTAATCGTATCACATATGATTACATGCGGTGTGCCAGCGTTTAAATGCAGCAGCTTTTCCTGCTGCAGGAAAACGCAAGTTCCTGACACAGGCATCCCTAATCACACCTAAAGATATAGGATGTGAATGAGGCCTAAGATATGGGTAGGCAAGAAAGGGTTATAGACAGTGCTGTAGTAGTGTCACAGAGGCACAGTCAGCTTAGCAAGGGTTGTTGGAGGGTTTTTCTTCCACTTTTTCTTCTGACTTTTCTATACTTTCAGGTTGAAAATGTCACTGGGTCATTTATCTGCCTCCCTGGTATAGGTTTAGAGAATATAGGTAACATGAAGACCCCTTTATTACCAAGGGTCTTTTTAAGTAAAAACTATAATAAAATTGATATTAAAAAAAAAAAAGGACAGTTCATAAATTTCCTTCAATGGAAATAGCACTAAAGAAAACAGTGATCAGAATTACAATATGTTTTCTTTCTTTTGATTAGCTTAGCACCATTTAGCAAATATGGCTTATTGATGTTTCTCAATTTGCTTCTTCAGTATCTTAGTATCTAAACCAATGGATCAGTCTTATCTGCTGAAACAATTGCCAAGAATAAAGTGGATACGTGTCCTGATTTGTTAAACATTAAACACGCTTACCTCACTGGCCGACATATTTTTCACTTGCTCTGGTTTCAGTTCTGTAACACAATATAAAACATTTACAGCCAGTCAGTCAGTCTCTGACTTTAGGTCAACTTTAATACAACGCTGTATACCCAAGAAACGGCTCCTCTATATATATGCACTGCATAAAATTAAACCTACAAAAGTCAAAATGAAAAATAGAGTGCTCTGAATTTAAATCAAAGTGAATTTGAAAACACATAACCCAATAACGTTCATTAAGATAAAGTACAACATACCATTAACATGTCATTCTTATTTACTATTGTACAGTGTGTAGGAATTTGCTGGAGATGGAAATTATAAATAGGGATGCACGGATACAAAGTACAGTACTCGGTACAAGTACTGTACCAATACTTTTCCAGCTCCAAGAGAAGACTAGAGAAAAATTCAAAAGTTAGGAGGCAGCTGTCATTTGGAAGGAGCATACGGAGCTCCTGGGATTTATACATCTGTTTTAATGTATGATTTTGTTTTTATAAATATAGGGATGCACAGATAGCAGTTTTGCGAGTACGAGTACTGGTACTTGCCCGACTACTTACACATTTTTGTTTATTGTCATGGTGACAGTTTTTCCAAATCAATATCAACTAAATGATTTCAGGACAGTGGTGGAGGGCCACAGCCAAGTCCCAGCTGCAACTGCTGCAACCCTGGTAGTTCTCATGAAAATGCCAAGTATCTGCACTGGTACTCGAAAAGAATCGGTGCAGCCCTAATTATAAACATCTATCACTTGAAACACCAAGTCTATAGTTAAAAAAAAAAAACTACTATGTAGGACTCATCCCATGCTTAGCAACATGATTCTAGAATAAGCGACATGTAGCAACATTTCACAATTATTCATATACTAACTTATCTTTTAATAAAAGTGCAGCATTAGAGCCAACAAACAGAAAAAACAATACCATGCTTGCATTGCAAGTGCCAGAACTGCTTAGACACATACCTCGTATAGGCCCAAGTGCAGCATCTTTAGCAAGTGCAGTTATATCACTCCCAGAGTATCCTTCAGTCTGCCTAAAAACAGAATAACACATTAAAAACAAAAATCATAGTTACTATTATACAATGACTATGACAACAGCCAGTGCAATCTATTTCTTTATCTATCATCAGCCAATCACTCATCTACCAATCAATCGTCCAGCCATCCAGCCACTATCTATCTAATCTGACTATGCAATTTATTAAGTACTTTGGCATTTCAATGTAAAAGTCCACAAAGCTACCTATACAGACAAAGTACAACTCATTACACCTACCTGGCTAGCTGAGCCAATTCTTTTTGTGTCAGTGGGTTCCCTTGCTTGCTTAAAAGGTTTTTCACCAGCAAAAGCCTTGTCTGTTTGGGAAAGAGATAGTTCACACTCATCACAAGAGTTATATTCTTGGTAAATCACTTTGTACACAAAAACTAAGATTACTATAAGCCCCCGTCATCCGATTGCAGATATGCCACAACAAAATGCAATGCATAGATCAATCCTTTCTTTTGGACTTGTATATAAAAATGTAAAAAAGAAGTTTTCCCCATAAAGGGGATCCCACCATCCTTTACACAATCTACGTAACAACTAAGTGATGAAAAAGTATAAATATTGTATATAAAAATATATAGGGAGCTCTCTCCCAGCATTCCCAATGCATGCCATTTGCTTATTGGTACATAAAATTATAATGAGCCAAGTAGCCCAACAAAGCAAACACACACCACATGTAACTGAAAATGGGTTGCAGTGCTGTTAAAGGAGAACTATGGGGTCAGTGTTTTTCCCCATAGTTCTCCTTAGGGTAACGGGAGGACACAAACTAGCGTCCTCCCGTTACCCTAAGCTCAGTATACCGCGAGCTACAGCTCGCGGTATACTGAGACGCCGCAGCCGGAACGGATCCCGACTTAGACGACGAGATCCGCCCAGCTGCGTGAGTGACAGCTGGCTCTGCCTATCTAGAGGCAGAGCCAGCTGTACCCTCCCTCTCCCCCGTCCGTTCCGCCAGTCAGCGCTGGCAGATCGGAGCGGGGAGAGGGGAATCCAGCCCCTCCCCCTGTCACGGCAGAGAGCCGTGACAGGATCGAGAGGGGAGCGAACCTGGTAGGTGTTCGCTCACCTCCCGATCTACTGAGCCGCCCTGTGACAGTCTCATTGTCACAGGTCGGCTAGAACTATGAGGCGAGTGGAAATCACTCATCTCATAGTTCTCCTTTAAGCACTGAAGCTGCAGCCCTTAAATTTTCCCCCACAAACTCCCCCTGTTAATGGAGCAATAGATCTTTTTTTTTCCTTCACACATTAGCTGGCACCCTGTGTATATGTCTCTGAGCAAAGAAAAGCTTCATGCAAAGTTAAGGTGTTTCTAAAATAGGCAGGGCGTAGAACTGGAAGCATTTGGATACAATGGTGTCACCTTCAAAAAAACATACATTGTGTACTATTGTATAACCATAGCCGAATCTGCAACGTTTTTACCGTCATACATATATATTTACACACAATAAAAAAAAGCTAAAAATATATTTATTGTATAATCCTAATTTTCTCTTCATTCCAAACTATGGCGCAACTTTCAATGACAACTTTTATAAGACCCTTTTATATGTCCAGTGTGTCTGGATTAAAATGAGTATGGTGTTGGAATGCCTAAAGGAGTTAACCTCATTTCTGTGTAAGAGATTACTCAATACAGCTTGTAGTAAAATTTAAAGTATGCCTTTGAGTGTCTTTTGATACAATACAAAATATAAATTTGAAATAATCTCATTTTATATTTTCTAAGCATCAATTTTGCTTGTTTGGGATAAATTGCTTTTAAAAGGAAAATGAATTAGAGTACCAACCCTTGCCCCTTTTCCAGCTGAGATCATATGAGGATAAAAATAATATTTTGTGTTTTTTTACACAAGAACCTTGGGTGTTGGAGGGTGCAGCAATATGCATTATTTGCATTAAACATATTTTCATCCTTCCTCAGTACTCTTTTTTTAAACACTGCCAACAACATAGTGTAGGGGTGCACTGAAGATGCTGGTTATATATTTTTTCATATTTAGATCTACCAGGAGAATGTGTAAATACATTCAGGCAGTGTATTTTTTCTTTCCACTGGACTCAAAACCAGGGCCAGGCAGACCTAAAAGGCAGATGAAGTGGCTGCCTAGGGCACTGCAACCTGTAGTAGATAGGAGGGTGCAAAAAAGTATCCATCAACCCCACTGTAGCCAGATTCAGAGTCTGCAGCCGTGCTTTATCTAGCATACATTCAGAAAAAACATGATCGTTCCCACATTTTCCACAGTGCCCAGTTCAGAATAGCAGACACCTGGAAGGAGAAGGCTGTAAAGAGTCTGCCCAGCCACTAACGGAGGCAGGTGTGAACTGATTCTTTATTTGTACTAGCTTTAAGGGGGGGAGTTGCAAAGCAGGGGTTACTGCTTTAATGTCATTATTTTCCCCATGCTCATCACAAGGCTTTAACGGGGTCCAGCAAACAATCATTGATGAAAAAGGTGGGAAAAGGTGGCAATCCTAGGTCCAGTGGACAGAGGCCATGACTCCTGCACCCAGCTCTGCACTGAAAGGTAAGCATGACCCGTCTCCATTTGAGAAGATAAGTTGCAGGGTGGTACACATACTTATTTGTGTGATTCTAACGTTTTCTTTTTATTACCACTCTTTTTTTTTTAAATGTTAACATTCAGAAAAACATACCTCTTCATTTGGTAGTGAGACATAAACCCTTTTTGTGAATAGCCAGCAACATTAGGAAAAGAAAGACAGCCGGCTACACATCAGGGTAAGCCCTTTCATCTCTTGCAATTGTAAAAGTAAAGTTTAAAACATCTCTACTTGTCATCCAAGGCAGGCCTTAGATCCCACAAACTATACAAGCACCTTTTTCACTTCCTAAATCAATCTGCAGAACTTAATTCCATCAAACACAACAAGCTATTTTCTAAGCATCCTACCAATAAGCTAAGACTTACATGCTCTAATCTGTGTTTACAATGAAGGACAATAGGGAGACCACCAAACAGTTGGCCTAAAAAGACTTTTAATTTGGCATTGTTATATTTAACATTGTTTAATACAAATAATTTAAAATTTTCCTATATGGTGACATTCAGGTAAAAAAAAAAAAATGAATGTTCACTTTGTACCTGAGAACTGCTTCATCCAGTTCTTGAGGCCTATTGGTAGCCCCCATGACGAGCACCCGATCATCTCCTCCAGACTGTACCTAAAATTGTAGTGGAAAGTGGAAATTATTAGATTCCAGTACACGACCGTTATAATCAGTTTTGCAGTGTTAGATATCATTTAAATTGTAAAATTAAGTCTATAGAGTTTGGTTGGAAAAAAACCTTTAATGTCTCTGTTTCTTAAAAGAATTCCCCTCTCCCCAAGCAATTTGTTTTTGTATGTACACAGCCTGCATGTGCAGAGCAGTGCTCTCCTGGAACTGGGTACAGGAACAATGCAACTCAATGCACATGCACAGGAGTTATACCATCATTGGCCACCCAATGGCAGATGAAACTAGACATTGCATGTGAAAGAAGTGGCTCTAAGGATGGCAACAGGGCAATGTTGTGTGGCGAGACAAAGCACAAAGAGGTTTGTGCTATAGTAAGGCGAACTGAAAAGGAAGTCTGCCATAATAATGCAAATATTTATTACAGGTATTTATATAGTGCCGACAATTTTACGCAGTGCTTTACATAGTTGCCCATTCACACCAGTCCCTTCCCTCAAGGAGCTTACAAGCTAAGGTCCCCATTTCACATGCATATATATGAGGGCCAATTTACCTACCTGTATGCCTTTGGAGTGTGGGAGGAAACCCATGCAAGCACAGGGAGAACATGCAAACGCCTTGAAGATAGTGTCCTGATCGGGATACGGACTGGGGACCCCTAGTGCTGCAAGGCAGAAACGCTAAGCGCTACTGCTTCCACATTATTGCAAGAAACACTATGGGGTCTATTCACAAAGCTGCCGAGGGCAGCCGAGTGAATGACCGATCAGAAGTGAAGTCAGCCGTACATCGGCTTGCTTCGTGTGGCTTCGGATCAGCCGAACATGCTCAGCATGTTCGGCTGACCCGAAGTGCAGAAGGAGTTCGACTCAGCCGATCCAACATCTGGATCGGCTGAGCCGAACCTCCGGCAGGCTTCACACTGCTGTTCGGGCTATTCTGAAAGATCCCGAACAGCAGTGAGAGAATAGCCGAATGCCGCCGAGCGGCATTTGGCTCGGCTGTTCTGCTCGGTCCCTCAGAGGCACCGAGCAGAACAGAAAAAGAGTGAAAAAAGTAGAAAAAAGAATCGCCGGAATACTCGGCTGGGATCGGTTAGGTTCGCCGGGTTGCTCGTCTAAGATCGGGTGTGTTCGCCGGAATGCTCGGCTGATGTCTCGGTCGTTGGGTTCGGCTAATGGTTCGGCTGCTTTCGCGGGCTGTACGGGCTTTTGTGAATAGCCCGTACAGCACCCCCTCGGTTCTCCTGAACCGAAGGGGTCCTGGTGCCGAAGCTAGCCGAAGGATCGGCCGAAGCTACGGCCAGATCCTTCGGCAGCTTTGTGAATAGACCCCTATGCCTTTCACTACAGTTCTACTTCAAATGTGCTCCTGCTATTTATACCTTTGGCTCGCGGTTAAGTAATAAATGGGCATTGAAATGTATTTATTGATTACATAACATTGAGGTACAAAGAAATACTTACTCCATCAAACTCAATTAAAAATTCAGTTTTTAATCTTCTGCTAGCATCATGCTCTCCTTCTCTTCTTTCACATAAAAGGCTATCAACCTCATCTAATGGGAAAACAAAAATTAAGAGAACAGCACTTACTATATGTTAAGTATGAGTTGTTTACAAAACTGATCTTTTTTTTCCACTTAAAGTACATGCTGCAGTAAATTGTACCATGTGGTGAACAAATATACAAAAGTCTAACTCTTCCACCAGATCCTGGGGTGGGGATGTTCCTAGGGAAACACACTCAGGTACCAATGGCTGTCAAGTGGGGGAAGGACATGCCTACAGCACCCCTGTCCTGGGGGTTGGGGAATTTAAAGTAGTAGTTTTTGCGAAACATTTTTTCAATAAACAATCCAGATCAAACAAGTATACATTGCCCAGCAAAGCATTGCTTTACATTTTTTTTGCCAAGGCACTTATAGTCATCATGTCTCCAAACAGCTCCTTTTCCCTAAACTTCCTGTCCTGTACAAGATCACAAAAAGGACAGCACAGTCTCCAGCAACTGTCCATCTACTAGCATGGCGAAGGGAGGATGGAAGAGCAGGGAGCAGAGGATTAGCTTGCCCTGCTATGCCTGTGCATTTGTAGAGATACACAGTTTACTAGCACATACAAGGGTGGTTCCACAGGACCCTGCAAGGTAAAGGAACCACCCTAAAAACAGGATATCAGGGCCAGTGCTGAGAGGACCAGATGATTCTGCAGGAAACTCAAACTTTTAAACATAAAGAAGCAGCATCCATTGTAGGTGACAATCAGTATTTGAAATAGTTAAGAACCTTTTAATTTCAATATGACCTTAGGGGAGTGCTGGCAGCGTAGTGAGAGGGATGTTACTGACAATTCTATTAAATCCTGAATCTTATCTTGGTTTTTAATCCGTATATAACCAGATACAATGTACTCTGTTCTGTACATGCTATTTTCAGATTGCTCAAACTTGACATACACGTACATACTTGACTGTATAATATATACCAAGCCACTGTCTGTTATGACCCCACACACTCATCACTTTTGCTATTTATACCGTCATCGCCATTCCTAACTATCCTTTCAAGGAACAGGCACGCTTAAGCTAGTTACATAAACAGTTCCGGGACACAAACTACAGAAATTGCTCAGGCCATTAAAGGACATCTGTATCTGGAAGGTGTATTCATGGACACTTGGTGACAAAGCTTACTCTATTCAACACACTGGCAGAGTTGTCAACCCCTTCTTGTCTGCTCCCGAGTCCGACTGCAAACAGTTGTGCCATCACATAAGCATATTTATAACGCAGCGCGTGTGACATTCATCAAATATTCTCTACACCTAAGGTCTCGTTCACACCTAGGCGTATTGCATATGCGCGACCGTCGCGCGTTTTTACCGCGATTCGCGGGAATGAGACCATTGAATACAAAGGGATTTATATTTTTGTAGAGCATTCGCCGAGCGTAGAACGCGCTACAAAACGTTCAGGTGTGAACGAGGGCTAAATCTGGTGTTAAAAACTAGCGAATGATTCATCACCAGTGAATGTTTAATACAAATATCGCATTCACCCGTAGGGTGCTGGCATGTTCCACCATAACCGCATCAGAAAAACTGAAGTACAGCTGTCTGCAGGGCGGGCACACATCAACAGGAAGCTCATACACGAGACCTACAGGATGCACACTGCTCAGAGAAAAAAACATTAGAAAACTAAGGGGGAAACTATTCTTTTTAAGCAAAAATGTTTTACATTGCTCTTCAAAGCACTGTAAAAGTTTATGTATACTTTAAGCTTTACCATACCTCTGGAATGCAAGTGTATTTTTTCATGAATTCTGCATTATTTTGGTTAACATTTACTTGAAAGCTGTTTCTAAAATCTATTATTTATTTAAGTTAGTTACATTTTACATGCTTTCTGTTCCATAGTTTTGTTACATTATTTCGTATACATCTTGGTAGATTCCTATTTGTATACCAGGGAATGTGGTTTGCACCCTTGCTAAAGGACAAATGAGAAGATTAGCAGCCACAAAGAAAGTCATATTTTTAATCAGTAATAACCGAGAAAGAATGAGCAATGTGAAAAAGGAAAAAAAAAATATAAGGATGCAAAGTATACATACATCAAGAGCCCACGTACAGTATATTAAATAGTTTTGCTTTAACTTGATCACTTCACTACAATTACCTTTTCTGGGTTAAAAACACACATTTTGAGATCAAAAAGTAGTCGATGGTAAATATGAAAAACAAAACTATTTACCTATAAAAATAATAGATGGCTGGAGTTCCCTCGCCACAGAAAAAAGTGCCCGCACTAATTTTTCTCCTTCTCCTACCTGGAAACCAAAAAGAAGAAAGAAAATATTTGAAAATGTTTCAAAACACAAGGCCAACCAGTTAGGCAGTAAGTGTTTATTTACAGAAAACCACAACAAAATAGCAGGTTCCATCCTGGGATGTCATTTGACTCCATGAAAGACAAAGTAAACATTCAAACACATTTTAAATTAATTTATTAATTAAAAAAATTTAATTTTGAAATTTGTGGAATTTTGTTTAAATATAGGTTATGCAAATACATGTTTAGGAAATGTTTGTGCATGTTTATGTAATAATAGTTTAAAGTACAGAGACTTTACTAGTGCTGACCTTAAAGCAGTGGTTCTCAACCTTTCTAGGGCCGGGACCCCTTGATAACATTTGCCAAGTTGTGGTGACCCCCAACGGAGCGCTGGAGAATTAGTAAGGCGCTGGACTTGGGACTAAAAATAGAAGCACAATCACAAGAATACAAGCCCTCCCCAGCCCCTGCTACCTGCTCTGTATCCATGCAGCCTTCTCAGCCCCAGCACTGCTTAGACGCCCGCCTCCTGCAGAGCTCACATTGTATTGGAGGCAGGAGGACAGCAGCGGCTGTGAATAGAAAAGCCCTGCTGTACACACTCCATGGCCACTAGATGTCGCTGCAGCGGCCAGGGAGTGTATATAGCGGTACTTTTATATTCACAGCCTCTGCTGTCCTCCCGCTGACTGAGGAGCCTCTCACCTAGCGCAGCAGGAGTGGATGTTGCGACCCCCTCAACAGTGAGTTGCGACCCACTTTTGGGTCACGACCCACAGGTTGAGAACCGCTGCTTTAAGGGAAACAGCAGATGCACAAAAAGCCCAACTGGGGCAATCAACTCGCCTTGCTCCTTTCCAAAAACAAGACAAATTAAATAAATAATAGTCTCCCAATCCTTCAGATTAGAGCTGGCGGTGCCGGGGAGGAGTCAGCTGGCAAAGGAGACCGAGCTTTCCTCCGGCACTGCCGGCTCAGCCTCCTGCGACAACGAGTCAGGATGGAGAGCAGTGTGGGGGCGGAGACAGCTGTCACAGGAGGTCAGGCCAGCAGTGCGGGGGAGGAGTCTGTTGTCAAATGAGACTGACCTCTCCTCCCTGCGCCGCCTACTCAGCCTCCTGTGACAGCGAGTCAGGATGGAGAGCGGGTACACGCAGTCAGCGATCAGCTGACTGCTTGTAAGTAATTGAGGAGATAGTATGTTTACTGGGTCCCCAATTATATAATGAACAGGAAGTGCTCTACATCACTTCCTGTTCATTCATGATTGTGGATATAGCAAACATACTATCTCCACAAGTTATGAACAGAAAAACTCAGTATAGAGGATTCTTGTTCATTCATAACAGGGGCTGCAGAAAAAGAGATTGAGGACTCTGTGTCCCCAATCTCTTTTTCTGTTTTAAAAGGATCTGTTTAGACCCCTGATATTTTCCCAAAGCCCCCAACATTAAAGTTAAAATATAAAAATATTTATTAAAAAATAAATAAAAATGTATTAAAAAATTAAAAAGGTTAGAAAATAAATGTTGGTTTCAGCCTGACAATTTTTTATTTTCAGTTTCAAAATTTAATTCCGGTGCACCTCTGTTTATCATAATTTGGATGTAGAAAAAAAACAACATGTCTTCTTATATTAACCTGTTGCACGGCGGACTCGCATTTGCGGGTTGCCGTCTACAGGCGGCATTTTTTTTCTGCTTGCGCGCGCAATGGCAGATAAAGCCCATTCAATGCAAAGAGCTGTTTCAAATACACACGATCGGCGGCTCTATAGCCTACCGATCGCGTGCTTCATCAGCTTCTTTTGGTGTCCCCAGGTGACATTAGGGGTCTTAGAGATCCCCAATGTCTCCATAAAGGAGGACCTGTCAGTGTGCCTTTGCTATCATATAGGGGGATTTGTTATCCCCCTATGTAATAGCAATAACAATAAGTGTAAAAAAAAAAAACATAAAAAGGAGTAAAAAAATTAAAAAAAGTCACATAAAAAAGTTTTAAAAAAACCCCCAAATTTTTAAGTCCCCCACATTTACGCACATATAAGCGTAAATAGGCGTTCACGGCACCAGCATGTGAAAATGACAATTGCGCTGCACATGTTACATATCGTCGCGAACGTCAGAGTGAGAGCAATCATTTTAGGGTCATCAATCACTGATAACACTAAACTGATGAGCGGTAAAAGCTTTTAAAGTGTCGCCTATGGCCAATTTTGGGTATTGTAGTTTGAGGTTTCGTGCGCGCGCACAATTTTAAGGCTTGATATGTTTGGTGTCTTTTTACCCGACGTGACCCCGTCTTTTATATTTTACCAAAAAAATTGGGTAATAATAAATGTTTTATCATTTAATATAGGGGAAAGTTTTTTGTTTTTTTTTCTTTAAATCTGTAATTTTCCCTTAATATTAGTAAAAAATTAAACCCCCAGTGGTGATTAAATACCACCAAAAGAAAGCTCTATCTCTGTCCCCAAAAAATTGTATAAAATTTATTTCAGTGCAGCGTTGCATGACGGAATGAATGTCAGTCAAAGTACTGCAGCACTGAACACTGAAAAATGGCCTGGATGGGAAGGGGGGTTTAACACCGTGGACTTGAAGTGGTTAATATTCAATAACAATAAAAGCACACAAAGATACTTGCATATTTTGAAGTAAGACTTGCTGCACTTATATTAAAAAATGTTGCATTCGATTCAGCAGCTACTGCTTTTGCCTAAAGAAAAAAAAAAATAAAATAAAACATAAGAAATGTAAAGTTATCCCAGGACAAACACACAGACAGCCTAAAGGATTTCTCACCAGCATAGTCTTCCCATTTCCAGGAGGGCCAAACAGCAATAACCCTCGAGCAGGAGCTCTGAGACCAGTGAACAGCTACAAGCAAAATAGGACCACAAAAATAATTCATATAATTTTTTTTTTAAACATGTCTTATTTAAATATTCCATAATATACAAATAGTTTAACTGTGAAACCTTCTTTTCATAAAAACAAGAATATTGCCCTGTATGGCCAAATTTTCAGTATAGTGTCTATTCAAAGATGTGAGGGTAGAGAATCAGCTTAACAGCCAAGAACCGAACTTGATTTCAATGGCAGCATCCATATTTCTCCTAAAGTTAAACACATCTATTTGCCCTGGTAACTATTTTCACTAAAAGTGAAAGAAAACCCAAATTCTGGGTTGTCATGAAAACCAGAAATAGATGTGAAATCTTCCATTGGGAACACTAGTTCCGATAACCCTGATGACCACCAGAGATTTCCATCACTTTGGAGGGATTTACTCTCACTTCCTGTTGTGGCAGAAGTCCTCCTTCCTGTGAGGACTCTATGTCCTCAATTTCTTTTTCTATTTCAAAATGGAAATGTCAGGGGTCTATTTAGACCCCAGATATTTCACCGAAGCCCCCCCAACAGTAAAATAAAAAAAAAAAATTACAATTTAAAAAAAACAAAAAAACACAACCCCACCCTCCCCCCACATAACATACACATATTGAGGTGTACGCCATGCATGATTTTTTTTTTTAATGTATTTTTTTTCTTTTTAAACAAAATTAAATTAACTGTGGCAGCGCATGGCAAAGCTTTGTGACTCATTGCCATGTGTTGTGATCTTTGTGTTGCAATTAAATATACACCTGTATCATTTTATCACAACACAGCGTAAAAACAATTTAACATAAGTCGCTTATTTACAGTTTTGCGTACCGTCATTTTTTTGACCTTTTCGCAAAAAGGCGCAATTTCAAATTTGCTAATATTTGTTATTTATTAACTCAATACAGTTTTATCTTTTAGATTTAGTCAGAAAATAATTTTTTGTGCACGGATACTGATTTTGGTGTGTTTTAAACAATTTAATTGTGTATTTTTATCGGTTTATTATGAAGTTGAGAAACATTTGCGCAATTATCGCAGGGCCTACAAATATACTAATCACCATCTTTTTATTCTACCGGGCCTGCGCTTTCAGAAAATATATTGTTTGGGGGGGTCTTTAACAAACGCTAGCAACCCAGCAGTTGAAAATCAAATCAATGGGAAAAATGGCTTGGCCAGCTGATTTGAAAAATGTTCCGGAGGGCTTGGCAGCGAAAGGATTAAAGCTATAGCAGCCTCCCAAATGTAACCAATGTGGATAAGTAGTATCATCATCTTTATAGGGAACGTACCTCTGGGCGAATAGAAGGGAGAATCACTATTTCTTGCAACGCTTGCTTCGCTAGTTCTTGTCCAGCTATATCAGTAAATTTGACAGATGGGCCACTGTTAAGTGGGGGGGGGAGACCACAAAAGCACACCAATATGTTAGAATACTGCTGGTATACAACATTAAACAAGAAAAAACTATGTAAACATGTATAGCACACAGTGCAACACATACCTGTCTACAATTTCATTCAAAATTAGATTTGCAAGGTTGCTATCTACATTTTTTAAGTTCTTCATATCTTTTTTCCTGAGTCCAGTAGTAGGTGTTGTTGGCTTATTTGGTCTTGTATTCTTTACTCCTGCTCCCTTTTCAAAGATACAAAAATTATAAAGTAATAAATAAATGAAAACACACACAATCAATAAAATGAAGTGCACTTCAAAAGTGGAGTATACCCTGCTAGCTGTATTGGGGGCTGGTCTTTGTGAAGAGGAAGAAGAACTGGAACAGTTGGGTATCCTGGGTGAATGGGAAACTACTGGAGATACAGCTTTGGCTGTGGCTTTTGCACGAGGAAGGGAATTACTTGCAATGGAGAAGGAATCTTTCTTTTTTGGAACTGCACCTCTTCCTGAAAGGAAAACATACAAGTAATGTCAACCATGGAAATATACACTTGTACACAAAACAAAAATATATCAGTCCCTTGAAACCTATGTTTTACATCACTGTGCATTTGTGGGTTTTTTTATTTCTGTATTTTTCATGGTTTTATGATATACAAGTTTAATTTGCTATTATTTCTGTATTATTGGAGAATTATTGTTTGCTGTAATGTTACGTGAACTTAGATGTCCAGTTTTTGTGCATGGCTTATTCCCCATTAAGAAAAATGTTTTTTACATTTAAGTGTTGCAGCTATAAAGCATATATAAAGCTATAATCACATAAAGCAAATGTAATGCTGTCAAAGGTTGAACCACAAAAAGGAAAAGGTTTTCATACGCAGTTAAAAAAGGCACAACATAGGAATCTACTATTCTTAAAATAACAAAAATCATAAACACCAACATCCACATACCACTGAAACAATCCAATGCCCCAAAAATCAACGTCAACGGTCATGATTTCTAAGAAGAATCTTTCACACATCTGCTGACATTAAGCCCTCGTTCACACCTGAACGTTTTGTAGCGCGTTCTACGCTCGACGAACGCTCTACAAAACGCTCAAAAATATAAATCCCATTGTATTCAATGGTCTCGTTCCCACCTTGGCGTATTTCCGCCCGGCCCTAACGCGCTACAAAACGGCCCACGCCTGAAAAGGTACAGGTACTACTTTGGGCCGTTTTGTTGTGCGTTTCCACTGGGCTACAGCCAAGTAGCCTTCGGAGTCGCGCAACTTTTTTACCGCGAATCAAGGTAACAGACGCGCATATGCAATAAGCCTAGGTGTGAACGAGACATAACTGCAGCCAGCATTTACTCTATTAGGAATTGTAGATTACCTTGGTCATCTTGTACATGCGCATCATCATTGAAGGGTTCTCCTGTCATGACTTTTTCCAGAATCCAAATACCAAATTCAACTGCTTGTTAAACACACACTTTTTTAGGACTAGTTCACACCAGATGCAGTTGTGATGCAGTCCGTTCAGTTTGGCAGCTGCATCCAAAATGCATCACAATGCTTTATGGGATTTCTGGTGTTCTGTTCACACCAGTGCAGTTCGTTCTGATGCAGTCAGAAAAAATACTGCTTGCGCTATTTTAGCTGCATCGGATTGCAAATGAAAGAACCAAAAACGCAAATGCACCGGAACGCACCTAAAATCCAATTTTAGGCAAAAAATGCGCCAATCGTGGTAAAATCACTGTATAATCGTGGCAAACTGCATCGCATAGTAGCTATGCAGACGCACGCAGTTGTGGTGTGAACTAGCCCTTAGAGCCATTCCATCAATAAGTTGCAATAATTCTTCCAAATTAACGACCAAATCAAAAGAATCTGCAATTCACAAACTTTTGAATCACCAAAATATCTGCTTGCAGAAGCGGGATCTAGTGGAAAGCATTCAAATCAGGCATTCTGGTATCTGAGGTTAAATAATTTTATGCTTTTTAATGTAGACTGGCCCAGACCAAAGACACATATTTAGGCAGGTCTGTCATGCAGACCATCAGTGTAAAACAGGATACCATTAACCCCTTCATGACTGAGGCCTTTTTTTCATTTTTTTGTACCCATGTTATATTCCACATTTTAGGCCTGAAAATGACTTAAAACCCCCACACATTATATATTTTCTGAATGCCAAGACCCTATAGAATAAAATGGTGGTAGTTGCAAATTTTTATGTTGCGCAATATTAGCGCAACTCCTTATTAAACCCCAATATTTAGTGAAAAATGTAATTAAATGCCCCAAAACACAACAAAATACCCATTTTTTTTATGAAATATAAAAGATGAGGTTACAACAAGTAAAACGATACCCAACATGCCCAGGTTAAAAATTGCGTGCATCCGTAAAACGGCGAAAAACCCCAGTACCCCAAAAAGTCCATAGAAGACGCTTTAAAAGGCCCCACAGGTCATCAATTTAGATACCCCAAAATACTGGCGCTAGAATTTTTGCTCTCACTCCGGCGTGCGCGGCGATACCCAACATGTGTAGCGCGTTCGCGGCGATACCCAACATGTGTAGCGCGTTCGTCGTTTTCATACGTAGGCGCACAAGCAGAACAAAGCCATCATCTGAGAGACACTCACTGCAGAAACAGATTACACAGATAGAAAAGGAATGGAATACAAGGAAGTCTCATGTAAACAATGTTCCTCGGCATTAATAAATTGTCTACACTTTACAGTACTTCCCCAAAGTGGACTGAGATGTCACACATTGTGAAATATTTGTTTTTGCATCTGTAAAACAAACAAAAAAACATTTCAGAAGTCTGAGACTGCTTGCCGTAAGGCCCTCTTCTATCTGGGTCTTCTAGTTCTACTTTGCACCCCTTAAATTGTCTTATGCACAGATATACCAAATATTGCGTTAGCATTCCAGCAAGACAAAACACAAAAATTCCCCAGCCTCAACCTGCCAGCCAGCCTGCAACCATTCCAGCATTCCAGCAAGAACCCCAGCTCCACTGCCCCGCTTGCTGATTAAACAATCACTGGTAACATTGCCCTGTCCCATCACCCACATCTCCAGCTTTACTTCCACTGTCCCTGGACTCCATGACACAGTCTCTGTTAATAACCGGATTTAAATTTTGGTGTCTCCTTTTCAAGATCAATTGTCCCCAATTTCACTGACACGCTCCTGCCATTTTAGTATCCCCCGCCCCCACATCACTTTTATAGTATGCAGTACTGCTGTGTGAAGAGCTCAGATCCCATGCAGCTCAGTTTTGTAAATGGGTACCAAATGTATTATAGGTCACATTTCTGCACCCGTCATTCACCTTCATGGCTATGACCATTTATTTTTTAGCAAAATTTGTTGCCAAATCTGGAAAGATTACAATTTTCCCCTTCTGCATACCTTTTCCACTCATCTTCTGCACATACTGCCCACTGTCATACCCCTCCACACTCCTCTGCTGCACATACTGCCCACTAAGGAACTACTTTAGCAATTCTGGAACAAGCACTGTTTTGCTAGCAAGTAATATGTGATGCATTTTGATGCTAAAATATTTGTAGCCATCTACACTGAGTGGCCAGATTATTATGACCACCTGACGTTTGTAGGCAAATTAGCTATAATTAGCTATAATTTCGTGCTGAAGTTGCTAGAGGGCCAGACCATTATAAATAGGGAAGAAGGTTGTTTACCACGACAGTAGAAGTGATTTTTTCTGAAGATATGGGTAAACAACGCGATTTAACAGCCTTTGAACGTAGGATGATTGTTGGCGCTCGGAGCCATGGAGCGAGTATCAGCAAAACAGCAGAATTCGTTAAATGTTCAAGAGCAGCTGTTGTTAAAGTGTTTAAAGACTGGTCTGTCAGCCGAAAATCTGGGTCTGAACGTGCGAATTGTGGCCGTCAGCGACTAGTCAATGTTAGGGCAGAACGGAGAGTGGCAAGACTGGTACAAGACAACAGAAGGGCAACAGTTTAGTGTCAGATTCCTCGCATCACCTTTCAACATCTCGTGGAGTCACCAGGCGGCCCAACAAAGTCATCTGGTGGAGTTATCTCGTGGCCCAACGAAGTACTGATGGGGTGGTCATAATAATCTGGCCACTCAGTGTATATCATATTTAGTAATCGATAAAAGGTTTTGTAATATCTCTAATAGCTGCACTGGATTTCCTCCATCTGGAATGCTGCTAATTAATATTAGCCCACGTGCTACTGCTACGTTAGGAAACCAGTAACAGAGATATTAACATGCCAGAGCTTGAAGTTTAATACACCTAAATCTACCCATAAACTTGAAAGGATTGTTAAACTTGCATTAATTTAACCCTGCATCATTGACAGATGTCGAGCTTCCCTCATCAGCATTCAATTCCATCTTTACCACACCCTCCTAATATCACAGCATAAACCCTTACCACACCCTCCTAATATCACAGCATAAACCCTGCCCTAACCACTACACTAATTCTGACACACCTTTCCCTGTAACCTCAGTGTTCAAATCGAATAGATCCAAGCACCTCGGAACAGCAACATGATGGGGAACGCAGACATAGCATTGCTGGAGGCGGATGCTTTGCAAGGTTTGTGTGCCATGTGCTGCGCATACGCGCACATTATGGCAAAAGCTCCTGGGAGGCCCCCAAATTTTCCAGCGATTTACATTTTGCTTTAAAGCATATGTCTGGGGAAAAAAATTAGTACATGCTATGCCTAACATAGCCCTAACATAGCCCTGAAATGTAACCTTTAGCATTTAAACTTTATTCTAATCATAAAAGGGTCATTAAACCCAGTATAACTACTTTATATGGGTTATCAGTAAGCCATTCACAAGCACAGAAACCAACTACTTAAAGTCCAGTTATCAGTGTACTGGGCTCTGATAGTGGACAGCAGTGGTGCAAAAAGTCCGGTCCCCGACTCAGGTGGCGGCACGGTCTCCGTTTTAAAGAGAAGTGCGGGCAGTTTTTTCCTGTCTTCAGCTCTCCGCTCTCTCTCACTAGAGACAGCAGTCTCACTGCACTGACAGCAGCCACCAGCCCATAGCTCCGCAACCAATCACAGCAGGCGAGGGTGGGATTCTTAACAGGAAGAGCGAGTGATGGGGTTGCAGATGTAAATATGTGACGTCAGAATATAAGTACATCTTTGGGAAGCCAAAATTTGAGGATGGAACCAAACACCCTCCTCCGCCCCAATCTGCTGCTGCGTCTCTAGAGACGCCCGATCGCTTAAATGTAAAGCTCCCGGCCGGCCTTGTGATTACAACGGCTGGAAAGCTACTCTCGTTACAGACGAGCGGATTTTTCAAGCCTGTATATAGCTAAAGAACAACACATAAAAGAAGAGTTGTCATGGAGGGTTATACCTTTTTACAGCTTTCACTGTTCTTTTGTAGATCAGCCATTGGACTGTAAGAACTAGGAATTATTTTCAATTATCAACTATGTAGCGCAACATAGACACTGGAATAGATATTCTTTTCACTAAATAAAAAAAAAAAAAAAGGAGTATGTAGGTACTCCTGAATTCCCTGAACAAAATGAAAAAAGTGAGATTGTCAAAAATAAGCTACAGCTAAAAATTCACACAAAGCAAGTCAAAAACACAGGGGCCACCTGCACACTTTTTTTTTTCTAGAAAAAAAATAAAGAGAAATTAACAGAGATCGAACACATCTATATTTGTATCCAATTTTTCATGCAGGCCATGTTTTCCACCAAATGTTACAGTCACAGAGGCTGGAACAAACTATTATCCTAACAAGGGTGCTTACAACAGTCAGCTTTAATTTCATATGGCTGCAATATTTTTTCACACAGGAAAAATAAAATAAATGCTGACATAACTGCTTATAAGTGTTAGCTGGAGGAGCTCAGTGTTCATATGTTGCTTATTTAAAATCCATTTGAAATTACACTGCCCACAGTGTGACAACCCTGCAATGATTTCACTGTAGAACAAAGAGCATGTCAACCTGTGGCAGCAAGTGGATCAATGGGTCTACTGGCAGGATCAACAGGAAACTAATATATGTTTACAGTGGGACTCAGAAAAACAAAACATGATGTCTTAATGCTATGGACAGACTGCAGAATATACATTGAGGGGAATTTATCAAAACTGAAGCGGACAAAATCTGGAGCAGCTTTGCATAGCAACCAATCAGCTTCTCTCTTCAGTTAAGATTCGGTTGCCATGCACAACTGCTCCAGATTTTGTCTGCTCCAATTTGGATAAATTCCCTTCATTATCTTTACTATTGACCATAGTTGTACTTTAGTTCCATAAATTTAAAAAAATCAGGACCATACCCACATTTGTAAAGCAAAAAAAGTTGTTGCCTAAAAGCAAGTGCAAGTAAAATCATCAGGAAAACTAAACCCACCTGGCTTCAGAAGTCCATTGCGGCAAGGCAGGTTAGTACTGTCACTACACACTTCCATTTGCTTGTTCTGACCTTGTATATCTGCTTGCAGCGTTGCTACGCAAACAGTGGAAATGGAGAAAATAAAAATGAACAAAAATAAAAATGATGGGAAAAAAAAAAAAAAGAAGACAGACAATAAACTGCTGCTACACAGATTTCAACTTGAGACAACACAAGTTAGCTTAAAGAAAAAAACTCCAGTTTTGTAAAAAGAAAAGAAAAATCTGGAATTATTATAAAAGCCACCTTATAATTTATTAATTATTCCTTTCCTTCAGTTGCCTAATTTAAAAAAAAAAATTCCTAGCAACCATGACGACACTACTTAGTTTGTAGACGGAAAGTTGTGCAATTCTCGTCCCTCTGCAACTATCTGACTTTTCCCAAAAGTCTGCACAGGATTTCAGGTCAAATTACAGCAGTTCCACTTTATTTTGTGAGAAACTCACTAAAGGTTTGCTAGATCCAACAGCATGTTCAGGGAATGTAAAGCAGAACTCCAGGAAATATAATTATAAAAAAGGACAGTGGAAAGTCAAGCTCATCACTTAAACTTAATGAAGGCCCTATGATTATTCTCCTACATCTGGAGTACATAGGATTACCCAACATGTTGCACAACAGGCACTTATTTATGTACATCTATCCTAATATTGTGTATACATGTGCATGTTGGGGACTTTTAGACTGGCTTCCTGGTACCACGTGCTAGCGGCCCCTGCACTGGAAATTTAGAGTTTAGAACCAGGAAGTGCTCAAAACACAGAGCACTTCTGAATTAATTCTGTACAGTCTAGATTTGTTAACAGGTTTCAGCAATTTCCCAAAAACCCTCCATCCTGAATCTCCCTGCTATGACCTTTGGCTGGCTCCTTTGTGAGCCCACAGGTGGCAACCAAAAATCATACTAAGGGCTAGGGTTGCACAGATATCAAGTGCAGTACTCGGTACAAGTACGAGTACATGTAACGATACTTTTGAGCTCCAAGACTACACTAGAGAAAAAAAATTCAAAAATTAGGGAGGCAGCTGTCATTTGTAAGGAGCACACGGAGCTCCTGGGATTTGTACATCTGTTTTAATGTACTGATACATTTGTGTTTATTGTCATGTGACAGTTTTTCTAAAACAATACAGACTAATGATTTCAGGACAGTGGTGGAGTGCCAGAGCCAGGTCCCAGCTGCAACCCTGGTAGTTCTCATGAAAATGCCAAGTATCTGCACTGGTACTCGAAAAGTATCTGTGCATCCCTACTAAGGGCCTGACCAAAAGCTTTCTGAAGAACAGGGAAGCCTAATGCGTTTATTACACGAACCTCCGTGCAGTCATTTTCAAGATACAGCACTCCAAAAATGGTGTTAGGAGCACAGCAGTACCATTAGCCCAAATGACTCCATTCCTAAGCTCACTACCCTTCTATCCTTATTTTGTGACTAAAATTGGTAGCTGCAATGGCATTCCATGGGGCTGCCACTGACAGTGAATCATTCTAATTATAAAATAGCAGGGTAATGAAGTAGAACACAGACCAGAAGCGCTGAGCCAACTGCACAGCTGCACCATACAAATGTAATCATGACATTACACTTACCTTCAGCTGTCCTTTAGAATTAGATTTCCTGGAGCTCCCTTAAAGGCCTTGTTCACACCAAGCGCGGAGCAGGTGCAGAGCAGTTGCAGACCGGATCAAAACTGCGTCCAATGTATTCCAATGGTATTTTTAGCTCCAGTTCACATCGCAGCGTGCAGTTCCAGAGCAGGTCAAAAAACTGCAGCAGACCCTATTTTACCTGCTCTGGATCTGCAAACGCATCAAAAATGCATGCAAATGCCTGGAACGCACTGAAAGCCCATGTTAAACCAAAAAAAAAAAACGCATCTAAAAGACTAGCGTGCGTGTGCAGATACCTGATCGGATCTGCTCTGCATTTGGTGTGAACAAGGCCTTAAGGTTTATCAATAAAGCAATGCATTAATCTTATATGGTTTTAGTAGGCAGACTGACAATCTTAGTACATAGTACTCACGTTTAACAACCGCACTGCCATGGCCTACCTCAATACCTAGACACAAGATACACAACAATCTGCTATAAAGGCTAACAAAAGGTCTTGTGACGGAATATATTTTGAGAGGTTTTTGCTTTTTTCCTCTCAACAAAACTGGAGTTCCACTTTAAAAATAAACAACAGTAAACCATACTTTTCCTTATCAGAGGAATAAACATTTCTATTGGTTCTATATTTCTTCAATATTAAAAAGAAAATATGCAGATTTAGAATATTGCCTACTGAAGTTTATAGCTGGCAAAGTTTATGTAAGAGTTGGTAACAATTTTTTTTTACATCACATCATCAGATTTGTTTCTGTTTGAACAAGATTCAGATATGGCATTTCATGCAGAGACAATGTTTAAAAATTATGGAGGGCATGATAACACGTGAATTACAATAAAGGACAAAAGGAAAAAAATGCAATCATGTGTTTATTTTAGATTTTATGCCTGAGTGCACTAGATGGCCATTACTGTCACAGAATTGTCCATATACAATATTTGACATATTAGGGGGACCTAGAAGACTAATGATTGACAACTGCCAATGATCAGACAGCTGCCTCTTTCACCCAAGACTTCCGATATCTGTTTGATGCCAATCACAAACCAATCAGCTGTGGAAGTTATGCTTGCTCTAAATCAGTGGTTCTCAACCTGTGGGTTGAGAACCCCTGGCTGTCTGGACACAGTTACTGATTTGTTACAAAGTTGTTTTTAAACATACATTGAAGAGGCAATCTCTTATCAATGTCTAAAACACACAACAATGAAAAGACTATACACTGACTAACCATTAAATCTCAGGATTTTGTAATAATGGAAAATCTCCATATATCTTGGCTCCTACAAGGCATTATCATTGCTAGAACTCCGTTCTTGGTAGTATGGTTACTAAAATTATTCCTAGCCCTATTCTAGACTGAATCCTCCATGATTTAAAAAGCCCAATGTAACACTCTATTTAGGGGTTCCTCTCGGTGGGGTAATACCATGTATTCCCGGCATCAGAAGGGCTCATTATTTCTCAGAGATTTGCCAGCTTTATAGGTCTCCCCTGCAGCATGGAAGATTCAGAAGCAACAGCTACTGCCAAAGCATGTCTTTTAAAAGGAGTACTATGGGGTTAGGGCTTTTCCCCATAGTTCTCCCTAGGGTAACGGGAGGACACAAACTAGCGCCCTCCCGTCCCCCTAAGCTCAGTATACCGCTAGCTACAGCTCGCAGTATACTGAGACGCCGCGCTGAAGCGGATCCCAACAATTATGCGTGAGTGACAGTGGCAGAGCCAGCTGTACCCGCCACGTCCGTTCCGCCAGTCAGCGCTGGACGATCGGAAACAGCATAAACCCTTACCACACCCTCCTAATATCACAGCATAAACCCTTACCACACCCTCCTAATATCACAGCATAAACCCTTACCACACCCTCCTAATATCACAGCATAAACCCTTACCACACCCTCCTAATATCACAGCATAAACCCTTACCACACCCTCCTAATATCACAGCATAAACCCTTACCACACCCTCCTAATATCACAGCATAAACCCTTACCACACCCTCCTAATATCACAGCATAAACCCTTACCACACCCTCCTAATATCACAGCATAAACCCTTACCACACCCTCCTAATATCACAGCATAAACCCTTACCACACCCTCCTAATATCACAGCATAAACCCTTACCACACCCTCCTAATATCACAGCATAAACCCTTACCACACCCTCCTAATATCACAGCATAAACCCTTACCACACCCTCCTAATATCACAGCATAAACCCTTACCACACCCTCCTAATATCACAGCATAAACCCTTACCACACCCTCCTAATATCACAGCATAAACCCTTACCACACCCTCCTAATATCACAGCATAAACCCTTACCACACCCTCCTAATATCACAGCATAAACCCTTACCACACCCTCCTAATATCACAGCATAAACCCTGCCCTAACCACTACACTAATTCTGACACACCTTTCCCTGTAACCTCAGTGTTCAAATCGAATAGATCCAAGCACCTCGGAACAGCAACATGATGGGGAACGCAGACATAGCATTGCTGGAGGCGGATGCTTTGCAAGGTTTGTGTGCCATGTGCTGCGCATACGCGCACATTATGGCAAAAGCTCCTGGGAGGCCCCCAAATTTTCCAGCGATTTACATTTTGCTTTAAAGCATATGTCTGGGGAAAAAAATTAGTACATGCTATGCCTAACATAGCCCTAACATAGCCCTGAAATGTAACCTTTAGCATTTAAACTTTATTCTAATCATAAAAGGGTCATTAAACCCAGTATAACTACTTTATATGGGTTATCAGTAAGCCATTCACAAGCACAGAAACCAACTACTTAAAGTCCAGTTATCAGTGTACTGGGCTCTGATAGTGGACAGCAGTGGTGCAAAAAGTCCGGTCCCCGACTCAGGTGGCGGCACGGTCTCCGTTTTAAAGAGAAGTGCGGGCAGTTTTTTCCTGTCTTCAGCTCTCCGCTCTCTCTCACTAGAGACAGCAGTCTCACTGCACTGACAGCAGCCACCAGCCCATAGCTCCGCAACCAATCACAGCAGGCGAGGGTGGGATTCTTAACAGGAAGAGCGAGTGATGGGGTTGCAGATGTAAATATGTGACGTCAGAATATAAGTACATCTTTGGGAAGCCAAAATTTGAGGATGGAACCAAACACCCTCCTCCGCCCCAATCTGCTGCTGCGTCTCTAGAGACGCCCGATCGCTTAAATGTAAAGCTCCCGGCCGGCCTTGTGATTACAACGGCTGGAAAGCTACTCTCGTTACAGACGAGCGGATTTTTCAAGCCTGTATATAGCTAAAGAACAACACATAAAAGAAGAGTTGTCATGGAGGGTTATACCTTTTTACAGCTTTCACTGTTCTTTTGTAGATCAGCCATTGGACTGTAAGAACTAGGAATTATTTTCAATTATCAACTATGTAGCGCAACATAGACACTGGAATAGATATTCTTTTCACTAAATAAAAAAAAAAAAAAAGGAGTATGTAGGTACTCCTGAATTCCCTGAACAAAATGAAAAAAGTGAGATTGTCAAAAATAAGCTACAGCTAAAAATTCACACAAAGCAAGTCAAAAACACAGGGGCCACCTGCACACTTTTTTTTTTCTAGAAAAAAAATAAAGAGAAATTAACAGAGATCGAACACATCTATATTTGTATCCAATTTTTCATGCAGGCCATGTTTTCCACCAAATGTTACAGTCACAGAGGCTGGAACAAACTATTATCCTAACAAGGGTGCTTACAACAGTCAGCTTTAATTTCATATGGCTGCAATATTTTTTCACACAGGAAAAATAAAATAAATGCTGACATAACTGCTTATAAGTGTTAGCTGGAGGAGCTCAGTGTTCATATGTTGCTTATTTAAAATCCATTTGAAATTACACTGCCCACAGTGTGACAACCCTGCAATGATTTCACTGTAGAACAAAGAGCATGTCAACCTGTGGCAGCAAGTGGATCAATGGGTCTACTGGCAGGATCAACAGGAAACTAATATATGTTTACAGTGGGACTCAGAAAAACAAAACATGATGTCTTAATGCTATGGACAGACTGCAGAATATACATTGAGGGGAATTTATCAAAACTGAAGCGGACAAAATCTGGAGCAGCTTTGCATAGCAACCAATCAGCTTCTCTCTTCAGTTAAGATTCGGTTGCCATGCACAACTGCTCCAGATTTTGTCTGCTCCAATTTGGATAAATTCCCTTCATTATCTTTACTATTGACCATAGTTGTACTTTAGTTCCATAAATTTAAAAAAATCAGGACCATACCCACATTTGTAAAGCAAAAAAAGTTGTTGCCTAAAAGCAAGTGCAAGTAAAATCATCAGGAAAACTAAACCCACCTGGCTTCAGAAGTCCATTGCGGCAAGGCAGGTTAGTACTGTCACTACACACTTCCATTTGCTTGTTCTGACCTTGTATATCTGCTTGCAGCGTTGCTACGCAAACAGTGGAAATGGAGAAAATAAAAATGAACAAAAATAAAAATGATGGGAAAAAAAAAAAAAAGAAGACAGACAATAAACTGCTGCTACACAGATTTCAACTTGAGACAACACAAGTTAGCTTAAAGAAAAAAACTCCAGTTTTGTAAAAAGAAAAGAAAAATCTGGAATTATTATAAAAGCCACCTTATAATTTATTAATTATTCCTTTCCTTCAGTTGCCTAATTTAAAAAAAAAAATTCCTAGCAACCATGACGACACTACTTAGTTTGTAGACGGAAAGTTGTGCAATTCTCGTCCCTCTGCAACTATCTGACTTTTCCCAAAAGTCTGCACAGGATTTCAGGTCAAATTACAGCAGTTCCACTTTATTTTGTGAGAAACTCACTAAAGGTTTGCTAGATCCAACAGCATGTTCAGGGAATGTAAAGCAGAACTCCAGGAAATATAATTATAAAAAAGGACAGTGGAAAGTCAAGCTCATCACTTAAACTTAATGAAGGCCCTATGATTATTCTCCTACATCTGGAGTACATAGGATTACCCAACATGTTGCACAACAGGCACTTATTTATGTACATCTATCCTAATATTGTGTATACATGTGCATGTTGGGGACTTTTAGACTGGCTTCCTGGTACCACGTGCTAGCGGCCCCTGCACTGGAAATTTAGAGTTTAGAACCAGGAAGTGCTCAAAACACAGAGCACTTCTGAATTAATTCTGTACAGTCTAGATTTGTTAACAGGTTTCAGCAATTTCCCAAAAACCCTCCATCCTGAATCTCCCTGCTATGACCTTTGGCTGGCTCCTTTGTGAGCCCACAGGTGGCAACCAAAAATCATACTAAGGGCTAGGGTTGCACAGATATCAAGTGCAGTACTCGGTACAAGTACGAGTACATGTAACGATACTTTTGAGCTCCAAGACTACACTAGAGAAAAAAAATTCAAAAATTAGGGAGGCAGCTGTCATTTGTAAGGAGCACACGGAGCTCCTGGGATTTGTACATCTGTTTTAATGTACTGATACATTTGTGTTTATTGTCATGTGACAGTTTTTCTAAAACAATACAGACTAATGATTTCAGGACAGTGGTGGAGTGCCAGAGCCAGGTCCCAGCTGCAACCCTGGTAGTTCTCATGAAAATGCCAAGTATCTGCACTGGTACTCGAAAAGTATCTGTGCATCCCTACTAAGGGCCTGACCAAAAGCTTTCTGAAGAACAGGGAAGCCTAATGCGTTTATTACACGAACCTCCGTGCAGTCATTTTCAAGATACAGCACTCCAAAAATGGTGTTAGGAGCACAGCAGTACCATTAGCCCAAATGACTCCATTCCTAAGCTCACTACCCTTCTATCCTTATTTTGTGACTAAAATTGGTAGCTGCAATGGCATTCCATGGGGCTGCCACTGACAGTGAATCATTCTAATTATAAAATAGCAGGGTAATGAAGTAGAACACAGACCAGAAGCGCTGAGCCAACTGCACAGCTGCACCATACAAATGTAATCATGACATTACACTTACCTTCAGCTGTCCTTTAGAATTAGATTTCCTGGAGCTCCCTTAAAGGCCTTGTTCACACCAAGCGCGGAGCAGGTGCAGAGCAGTTGCAGACCGGATCAAAACTGCGTCCAATGTATTCCAATGGTATTTTTAGCTCCAGTTCACATCGCAGCGTGCAGTTCCAGAGCAGGTCAAAAAACTGCAGCAGACCCTATTTTACCTGCTCTGGATCTGCAAACGCATCAAAAATGCATGCAAATGCCTGGAACGCACTGAAAGCCCATGTTAAACCAAAAAAAAAAAACGCATCTAAAAGACTAGCGTGCGTGTGCAGATACCTGATCGGATCTGCTCTGCATTTGGTGTGAACAAGGCCTTAAGGTTTATCAATAAAGCAATGCATTAATCTTATATGGTTTTAGTAGGCAGACTGACAATCTTAGTACATAGTACTCACGTTTAACAACCGCACTGCCATGGCCTACCTCAATACCTAGACACAAGATACACAACAATCTGCTATAAAGGCTAACAAAAGGTCTTGTGACGGAATATATTTTGAGAGGTTTTTGCTTTTTTCCTCTCAACAAAACTGGAGTTCCACTTTAAAAATAAACAACAGTAAACCATACTTTTCCTTATCAGAGGAATAAACATTTCTATTGGTTCTATATTTCTTCAATATTAAAAAGAAAATATGCAGATTTAGAATATTGCCTACTGAAGTTTATAGCTGGCAAAGTTTATGTAAGAGTTGGTAACAATTTTTTTTTACATCACATCATCAGATTTGTTTCTGTTTGAACAAGATTCAGATATGGCATTTCATGCAGAGACAATGTTTAAAAATTATGGAGGGCATGATAACACGTGAATTACAATAAAGGACAAAAGGAAAAAAATGCAATCATGTGTTTATTTTAGATTTTATGCCTGAGTGCACTAGATGGCCATTACTGTCACAGAATTGTCCATATACAATATTTGACATATTAGGGGGACCTAGAAGACTAATGATTGACAACTGCCAATGATCAGACAGCTGCCTCTTTCACCCAAGACTTCCGATATCTGTTTGATGCCAATCACAAACCAATCAGCTGTGGAAGTTATGCTTGCTCTAAATCAGTGGTTCTCAACCTGTGGGTTGAGAACCCCTGGCTGTCTGGACACAGTTACTGATTTGTTACAAAGTTGTTTTTAAACATACATTGAAGAGGCAATCTCTTATCAATGTCTAAAACACACAACAATGAAAAGACTATACACTGACTAACCATTAAATCTCAGGATTTTGTAATAATGGAAAATCTCCATATATCTTGGCTCCTACAAGGCATTATCATTGCTAGAACTCCGTTCTTGGTAGTATGGTTACTAAAATTATTCCTAGCCCTATTCTAGACTGAATCCTCCATGATTTAAAAAGCCCAATGTAACACTCTATTTAGGGGTTCCTCTCGGTGGGGTAATACCATGTATTCCCGGCATCAGAAGGGCTCATTATTTCTCAGAGATTTGCCAGCTTTATAGGTCTCCCCTGCAGCATGGAAGATTCAGAAGCAACAGCTACTGCCAAAGCATGTCTTTTAAAAGGAGTACTATGGGGTTAGGGCTTTTCCCCATAGTTCTCCCTAGGGTAACGGGAGGACACAAACTAGCGCCCTCCCGTCCCCCTAAGCTCAGTATACCGCTAGCTACAGCTCGCAGTATACTGAGACGCCGCGCTGAAGCGGATCCCAACAATTATGCGTGAGTGACAGTGGCAGAGCCAGCTGTACCCGCCACGTCCGTTTCGCCAGTCAGCGCTGGACGATCGGATCGGGGAGATGGGGAATCAAGTCCCTCTCCTGTCACTGCTCTGTGACGTGACAGGATTGAGAAGTGAGCGAACGCCGGTATGTGTTCGCTCACTTCCCGATCTACTGAGCAGACCTGTGACAGTTTCATTGTCACAGGTCGGCTAGAACTATGAGGATGAGTGAAAAGCACTCACCTCATAGTTCTCCTTTAAGTCATGGTTCTTGACTATAACTTAAAAGGAGAACTATGAGGTGAGTGCTTTTCACTCACCTCATAGTTCTAGCCGACCTGTGACAATGAGACTGTCACAGGTCGGCTCAGTAGATCGGGAGGTGAGCGAACACATACCGAGTTCGCTCGCCTCTCGATCCCGTCACGGCTCTCTGCCGTGACAGGGGGAGGGGCTGGATTCCCCTCTCCCCGCCCGGATCTGCCAGCGCTGACTGGCGGATCGGACGGGGGAGAGGGAGGGGACAGCTGGCTCTGCCTCTAGATAGGCAGAGCCAGCTGTCACTCACGCAGTTGGGCGGATCCCGTCATCTACGTCGGGATCCGCTCCGGCTGCGGCGTCTCAGTATACCGCGAGCTGTAGCTCGCGGTATACTGAGCTTAGGGTAACGGGAGGACGCTAGCTTGTGTCCTCCCGTTACCCTAAGGAGAACTATGGGGAAAAACACTGACCCCATAGTTCTCCTTTAACATTGCTTCATTATATCATCTTTTATCTGCTGACAAGACTTTTCCTTTAATAGGGTAATCGGCGTACATGTAAGCGTATCTATTGTTGGACATCTATTTACTTTTATTCATTACGTTTCATAACGTTTTACTTCCACAAATGTTCAACTCAAGCAAAAAAAGCAAACAGACAAAAAAACAAACCACATGCAATGCAGGTATATGACAGTGGTACATAGACAGAAAAGCTGTGAAGCCCATGGGAACTGTATAATGAGCAGATGTTAAGATGGGTGAGTAATAAGCGCTTGCTGATTGGCTGCTGCAAGCAACAACAACGGAACCAGAAACTTATTGGTCAGAAACTTTTCCGACAGGCACACATTAGGGGTCCATTAGACCCCTGTCACCTTTGAAGCTGATTAAGCTGAGAATACAGAAGTGTCTAAATCAGTGTTTCCAATCCAGTGAAACATAGTGGGGGTTTCAGGATGAGGAAGTGATCACTTCCAGTGTAAAGCTGACAGTCAGCATGGCACATGAAAACAGACTCCCGGCTGCTATATCAGTTGATGTATGGCATACAGTACACCAGCGTAAGCCAACTAGGCACTAGCTCAAGCAGCTAGTAGAGGACATCTTGAAGAAAAAAAAAATAATCTTGAAAAAAGGAAAATCGCTAGCAAAAAAGGTTAAACTTGTCTCAGTAGGGAAAAAGAGATCCATCCTTTAAAAAAGACACTAGCAAAAAGCTGAAGGATGCAGGGAGTGGGAGGGGTTATGCCAGGCCGATAACTGTTTTTTGTTTGCCAATGTCCAAATCCTACTCTAGGTGGCAGTTTAACCCAATTGCCTCTAAATTCTAGGTCAAAAGAAAATAAATCCACAAAATACCAGGCAGACTTATTGTTTGTGTCCAGCAATCCTTGCACTGAACAGTTATTCTTTTAAGGGTTAAAATGGATGAGTAATAAAGTGTAAAACAAAAGCAAACTATGGT